TTAAAGTGCCTCTCTCTTGGGTTTGGTTTGCCCGTCATTCGGAAGGTTTAAATGCCATATTTTCTAGCTTATCTTGGAAGGTTTTACCTACTGTTTGTTAGCTGATTTGGAAAACTTTTCTTACTGTTTTGGGGCACTTTATAGGCTAATTTGGATGCTATTTGAAAATGTTTAAAGTGCCTCTCTCGGGGTTGGTTTGCCCGTCATTCGGAAGGTTTAAATGCCATCTTTTCTAGCTTATCTTGAGGGCTGATTTGGAAGGCTTTTCTTACTATTTTGGAGTAACTTAAGCACATGTTCTAAGGCTATTTTGAGCACTGTTTTGGAGTAATTTAAGCACATGTTTTAGGTCTGTTTTGAGCACTGTTTTGGAGTCATTTAAGCACATGATTTAGGTCTATTTTGAAAGTAATTTGTACACTATTTTGGCACTGTTTTAGAAAAATGTGATGCATGCAATTGAGATATTAATTTAGCTTGCTGAAGGCTACATTTTACTTCAAACTTTAGTGGTTTGGGAGCTCTTCTATGCCCTCTACTTGCTCTTTGCTAATTTTCTTTAATTTAGCATGCCTAAAGCTATATTTTGGTTTGCATTTTTTTGTTGGTTTTGGAAAAGGCTTTAGGCCCTTTTCTTGCTCTTTGCTTCATTGATTTAGGAGGTGTTCTTTGCGCTTTATTATATTGAGCTTTTGAAGGAAGTGTTTAAATACTTAATTTGGGGTTTTCTCTCCTTTTGCTATCCCTGACCGTGACTTATGTTGACACTTCTTGTGGGAATTTTTGTGGTATTTGCTGAGAGTTTTGCCTCCTCTGTTGCTACCCCTAGCCGCGGCTTATGGTGCTACCCTCTGTGGGAATTCTGAGTCATGTTTGTTAGGAGTTTGCCTCCTCTTTGCTGCTTCTAACTGTGGGCCCCTTAGTTCCCCCTTTTTATGAGGAAATTTCTCCCTCTCTTCCCCTCTCTGTAGCCTTTATACATGAGAATTTGGTGCTCTTTTGTAACATTGGGAAGAAGTTTAAATGTTGCATTTTGGAATGTTGGGATAGTAGAATTTCAAAAGAGGTTTTTTTTTATGTCGTTGGATGTTTGAAGCGATTTTAAATGTGGTTTTGAGAGCTGGTCAATTTTTACTTCTTTCCTGTTCCAAATGGATCAATCTCTCTTCTTTTTCCCCTCAGGTTCGCTTTTCTTTTCTTTGCTTAATGAGTTAGATATGTGCTTATATCCTAATATAAGTGCACATATATAGCTTAGGCTATATATGAACCGTTAAGCAAAGCTGTATGCTGTATTGTTCAGGGTCTTAGGCGGTGATGACAAAGACATCCGCTAATAAAACAGAATAATATTGCATCCTACGACATTCGGGCCTGACCCAGGGACCTGGTGAGAATGTAGGATGACAATATTACTCACCTACACTAGACTAGAGAGGACATTTGCTTTTTTAGGTTGCTGGCGATTCTAGCTCGATAGTATGATTGACCTGTGAATGGTATTTTTAAAACATATAAAGATAAAACAAAACAAAATACATTTGTTACGAAACAAATATTTTTGACTGTTAAATGAAATTCTATTTTAACTGCATGACAAACCGTAAACTTTGAATGATACAATTTAAATGTTCACTTGTCATTTATCTGTATTGGGTTAAGAATTGTCCTTCTAAGATTGTCTTGTTGGAAATTTTTAGTTGAATGTCGGGCTTTATGTACATGGATGACCGCTGGTTGCTTTCAGAGTCATTCGGGAATAATTAAGTTGAGCCTACCTTAACCTGAATGCTTACGGTATCTTCGATTTTCCGTGCGTTTCTACGGTTTTCTACAATTTTCTTTGAGTTTTTGTGGGTCACTCGTGATTTTCTTCGAGTTTTCCGTGTGATACGCTGCTACTTGTTTTTACATAAATGCATGATTGCCCTTCCTGTTAAATTTTCTACTAGTTTGCTCCTATATGGAATACTAACTTTTGCAGCAGCGGTAAGGAGCGTCAGGTACACATGTTTATTTTATACTTGGTACAATTTACCGCATTTACTGCACTTCCTTATGGCATATCTTTGTCATGCATGCTTTAAATTAATTGCTAGACTTTCAGGATAGAGAACAATTATGACATATTTTGTTCATGCATGTTTTGGAGTCATTTAAATGCATGTTTTAAATCATCGAGCTCAAATGAAACCTATTGAATTCAATGCTTACCAACAATTATAAGCATGTTCCTTTTATGAACGATTAAAAACTATGTGATGCACTGAGTGGATACTAAGAATAAAGAATGGACTTCAACAAATGATCTATAATACACATGAATGCTCACAAACTAATATAGATAAGTTCTCATGAAAATGATATATTTTAATTATTAATTTGTTATCGGATTCGCAACACAAACTTACAAACGGGCAAAAGAAAAAAATCTTAGAATCAAAGTGAAATATTTGTGTACATTCTAATGCTATTATATTTGTGCAAATAATAAAATTATTATATTTGTGCAAATAATAAAATTTAAATATTATGAAATATGCAAAGTGCAAATAATAAAATTTAAATATTATGAAATATGCATATTATGAGGTATATTTCTAATGCATTGAAATGTGCATAAGCACATTATTCAAATTCACATAAGATCTTGTTAGTACATTATATAAGTATATTGAGGTGTGTGCATATTGTCAAAACTAAACACCCACATATGTTCTAACGATCATTCTATTTTCATAAACTTATATGTTTGAGAATGTTGCATGGGCTAACTTACATTGTTTTTTAAATAGTTTTCTCCGATTAATATACATGCTAATCAAATTTAATGATTTCATGTGCTCCAACTACTGTGGTAAATGTTTATACACATGGCCTGCGAATACTGCACGGGCTAGCATAAAATCATATTTAAAATACTTGCATATGCTCCGACAATGATCACAAATGTTAAATTTTTGTGTTTGAGAATGTGTGCTATTAAAACATGTTTAAGCTCATATCTAATCTACTCTAAAATATGTGCAAAACTATTTAAAAATCATCTTAAATCAACAAGTTTAAAATATTCGCATTAGCTCCTATGATAACCATAAATTTCTTAAACTAAGCTATAAAATGCTATGTGGGTTAATTGCTTACTTTAGCTTAAATTAAATCCAACTTGAGAAGCTTGCACGCCTTTCATAAGTTTACAAAAATCTCATTTTCAAATATCAAGTTGAAAATTATTGAATTACATAGGCTCTCGAGCCGCCTTGCCTAGGGCAAGGTTGTAAGTTCCAATTCGGTTAGTTCGATCTTCCTCTCCACAGTGATAGAAGTCTACAAAATTGAGCCTCATTAAGTTAGTCTGATCCTCCTCCTAATAGAGATTGAAATTGACATAACTTCTTTCTAAAGGCTCTAGAAAATAAAATTAGTCAAATTATAAAATAAGCATTATGATTAATTCCTCGATGAATGGTGTATTGATTGTGCATCTTAATCAAAGAGGTTTTATTTATAAAATTAGAATTTAAATTATAAAATTCAAAATATTAAAAAATAATATATCATCTAAAAGATAGAGTAAAATCACATACAACCTCCACACTAGTTTGTCATGGGTAACAAATCTAACGCTAACTTAAACCGATAAAGTGCTAATGTCATATCAAATATACTGTTAAATTCACACTCAAAATAATTTGTAATGGATAATTACATGTAATGGTAAAAATATTGCATAAGTCTCTGTCAGCATAGTTTGGCCAATAGGCTCCCTAAAAGAAGCTGTTATGACCAAGGTCATCTTACCGAGAGGGTTATCGTCAAATGATACCATTATATTAAGGTCACGATTGTAACCTATATGATCCCAATGATTTTTCTATTTTAGTTGTCAATTATAGTGTATGTCTGATAGGACATCATCATTTGAAAGCTAAGGTCAATTTAGATTAGTCCTCTTAGATAATAAATCACCACACAACGTCTACAAAATTCTCTTGAACGAAGCAACTCATGATTGCTGTTAAGGATCTTTCTGTCAGTTTATGTCGACTGCTTCCTCTGATTAGGTGGACCAGGATCCATGACAACCTAGAATGATAGCACAGTGGAATCTTGATGGGGTTTGTCACCATTTTCCCTATCACCTTCTTTTAAGCTCACAGTGATAAATTCATAATTTAAAAATCCTGAAGTTACCACTATTGAATGCTTTGTTTGAATACTTAGTGCTTAATGATTAGCTTTAATTGAAAGTACTCTCTTGGTATCGGGAGGGGGTAAATAATCATGGGGGCTCGAGCCTACGGGAAATCTTGAACCTCAAAACTTAAAATCGTCATAAAATGAGTGTGAAATCTCTAGTTTTATGGAGAAAATACCGAGGATTTTAGGTTTAATAATTGGAGTAAATTTGGAAAGAAGAATTGAGATTGAAAAGGAGGGATGGAGAAAATAAGGAGGATTGTATATTGAATACTTAGGGGGTGGGGTGGGGTGGGGGGAGCGGGGGGTAAAATCAGATACAGTAGATGTTCTTCTCTTCACCTGAAAAGAAAAGGTTTTTAGTTTGTTTAATGTTTAACATTTTGAGCCCTTAAATCTTATATGGTAAGATGGCTAGTTTGCTATGTTTGAGGCGTTTAGTACTGAAATGCACATCAGGCAGAAACATGCTAATCCACACTGTAGTTGGTGATTGTTCGAAAATTTTCTTCTGTATAAGATTTTACTACAGGACCTTTCACAATTTAGTTATGATTGCAATTATCGAAATACCAAATCAGGGCTATCTTAAAGTGGCTGATTGACCTTATGATGGTTTTGAGAATGGCTTCATTTATGAGCAAGGTTTAGTGTTAGTGATTTTATACATTTCTAATGTTACTTTTGTTGATTATGTATCAAATGACTGAATTGAGGGACAAATTTGATGCATTTGTTCTCAGGAAAACATATTTACCGCTATTTTGTATCTTTCAGATTTCCAAAATTCAGCAGGACAGAAGGAGAAAAGTCTCCTTGCGCATCATAGAGGAGAATTACAGCGGATTCAGCTACTTGCAGAGAATGAAATGAGGGAGGTACTGAAAAACTTGCAGGCCATTCACCATTCATTCCCCTTGTCTTTTCTCACTATGAAAAACTGGTAAAAATCAGAAAATATCATCCCTAAGGAAGGAACATGAAATCCAAATGAAATCTTTAAAGATGCAATACGATGATGTACATAAAAAGCTGCAAGAAGATTTGGAGATGCAAAAGTCAAAGGTATAGTTCTTTGATGGCTTTTTTAAGTTATTTGTTTGTTAATTGCTCTGAATATTCATGTGATATTTTTGCAGGAGGAGAAGCAGAGAAAATTGCTACAATTGCAATGGAAAGTAATGAGTGAAAATCAACAGGACAATCAAGAAGTGAACTCTAAGAAGGTTTATAAGTTTTAATTCTAACAACTATTTAATTTAATATTAAATTAGCTTTTGTATTGCTAAGTATTGCTTTCTGAAGCCAATTGATGATGCTTTTGCTTCGTAGCTTTAACTAGAGTGTACTTTAGAGTAGTTTATGCTTTCCATGCTTGAGAAATTGCTTTTTTTTCTTAATATTTTTTCCTCTTCTATTGATACTTTAATCATATATTTCTCTTTCCTATTGGACATAATAAGTTTCCTTTAAAGGTGTCCTTGATTTCGACAGACTGATGAGCATGGAGTATTGTGAACCTGGTCATGTTCTGATGAGTATGGAGTATTGTGAACAATTTGTTTTTTTTTGAAATTGCTAGTCCAGTGATGCTAGAACGATCTTGAAAATAGAGAGACAAGAGATGATGCAACACCAATAATTCCTTAGACATAAGGTGACTGAATTGTCATAGGTGACAGGATTGTTATGGGAGACAGAGACAGATAGGATTCATCGTGGGAGATGCGATTATCATGGTTGATGGGATGATTACATGAAACCGTTTCTTCTTGAGTGATGGAAGAGATGTTCATCATGGGAAGCAGAGATGGAGACAATCAAGTCATAAATTGTATTGAGTGCCAATTTTCAGTTCAGTGTTGAGCGAATAATAGAAAGTGAGTCTAGGGAGATTAAGTGACACAATTGTTGAATGAGATCACAAGATGAACCCCCATTAACTAGGGGAGATAAGCACTAATAACAATCATGGCTAACACATTGATGTCTGCCATGCGAGATAGAGATGGAGAAGGGGAGCTGAAAGACTAGTCGAGCACTAATAAGACAACTGCGAGGATAATGACTTGAGTCAATGGTTTTGATTCCATATTTCCATGTTAGCAATCATAGAAGGTTACACATTTATTTGATTATTCATGATGCTTGTGCAATCATGCCTATATGAAGGCAGGAAAAGAGTGCAATACAAAAAATATGATGGAGGACGCCCTTAATAATGAGGTTATATCACAAGGATAAATTCTATAGATTCTTTCCATAAATATTAATCCCATGTGATAAATTTTTTATTGAAGCATCATTTTACATAATACTTCCTATCATGTGTATTCAAATTGTATCCTCCAAGTGTGAGATAATAAAAAAAATTATTGTGTAATAGAATTTCATATTTTATTGTTGACAATCTATATCAATAATTTGTTGTTTGCTGAGGATTTCCCTGGCGTGATGAGGTAGGATTGGATTTTAAATAATGATGTTGTTGTAATTGAGCAGCCTTGAGGTTCAAAGAACAAAGTCATTATTTGAAACTTATTATGCGATAACATTCCTAGACAAATAATGACATCGTTAATTGGGTGGTCATAATTAGTTGGGGACCAATTTTAAAACCAATTTTAAGGTCTCATCGGATGTCCAGGCTATTTGAATAACACACTTTCAAACCACATAGACATTCATCATGATATTATTTCCCACACTTAACACAAAACTTTATCATGTTGCTGTCAACCTGACTAATAACTCCATTAGTGTAAGAATCTTATTCCCATTAGACTCTTCGAAATTAATTGTTTGTGGTGCCACTTCTTCTGAGTTATTCTATGAATCTTTACTCTTCTTAGTTTGCAGAAAATCAATTTGCACTCTCCTAACCCTCTCTACTAGACTGAGTAATCTTCAATGTCAAGTGACAGTAGTGGCTGTCTGATTGAATCCTTCAACCAAACTAAACTTATGACATTTCACATCAACTTTTGGAACCAATTGAGGTGCATACCTTGAAAGCATAGCGAACTCTGCCTCGTACCGTATTATTGAATGATCATTTTTTACCAATTGGATAAACTTCTTTTGTACCCGTCTCCTGTTCAACAATGGTACGAATCGGTCTTTAAAGATTATCACAAACTCCTCCCACTGGATTTAGTTGTTGGTTCTATCTCCATGCTTTTGCTACATTAGTCCTTGCCACGATCTCTAGGCTTCTCTTTCAAAGGTAAAAGTGACAAGTGTAACCCTTCGCTATGGTAAACAGGATAACCCATCTATAATCTTCTTCACTCTCAATAGCTAGTTCCTAGCATCCACTGAACTTCCTCCTACAGAAAAGCGAGGTAACTTCATCTTCTGAATAGTTTTAAATACTCGTCCATCTGGCCTCCTCCACTAGAACTGGCCTGAGGCTGAGAGTTATTAGTCATTTGAGTTATTGCAGTCATCATCTCAACAAAAACATCAGCATTCACTGGGACATTCAGAGGTATATCATGTTGTGAGTTATATGTCAGTTGTTGTGGTATATATATAGAAATAAGATAGGAGAACGATATTTGATGAAGCGAAAAATAGAACGAGAAAATTCACACCAGAAAATAGTAATACAACGGAATACAGATTTACTTGGTTCGACAAATTGCCTACGTCCACAGAGATTTTACTACTTGAGGAATTTACACGAGTTGATCTTCTCGATTTGCAAGAGAAATCTCTCACTTCGTTGCTTTCTTTTTCTCTCTATTCTTCTCTCTCTACACCGAGATACACTGAAGAAACTCTACACTGAGATACATTAAAGAAGTTAAACTTACAAAAGAAATAAACCCAATTTCTCTTCTGTCACAAGCCACCAAGAAGAAGTCAAGGGAGAACAATCTTCTTCTTCCTTCTGTTAAGCACGCACACACTGCTTGCACTTCTCTTCCTCTATCCCGAGGAAGCTATATTGCCGAAGAACTCAAATGTGTTGTCCTAAAAAAACTCAAGGAGAGCTGCTCCTTTTATCACGAAACCGCAAGGAGCAAAGGGATGCTTTGCTTCGCGTCAGAGGAAGGCGGGAATGGTTTTCGCCGTTCGCGAACGGACGAAGGCGGGAGCAATTCACGATTTTTCATGACACAGAGGGAGAAGCGATGATTCGTGGAAATAGGAGCGGGAGCGGAAGACAGGAGCGCCGTTCGCGAACGGACGAAGGCGGGAGCATTCACGATTTTTCATGACACAGAGGGAGAAGCGACGATTCGTGGAAATAGGAGCGGGAGCGGAAGACAGGAGGCTGGATCGAGATCGGGCTCCAACACAACAAATTTCCCACTTGGTTATCAATATACATGCTACAATCTCTTCTTCCTCAAACTGATATCCTCTACTTGCGGCGTCGACTTTTCTTCAAACATGAATCCTCCACCTCTGCAACTTAAAACCTATGTCTTCACTTCAGAAGACAAACTGAAGCTGCGCACAACTTCAGTTTTTCAAGAGTAACACCCCAATCAACATATCAGCAGGGTCAATATAGCTTTGCACCTCCAAGATATTTTTTGAATTACTCTTGTCTCTGCTTACAACTCCCATTGTATGGGCAATATCCTGCTTCTGCTGAAAGTCTTTTTCAACAAGGCTAGTCTTGTACATTTTACTGTCATCAAGCTCAGTCTTCTCCTGGTATACCTACTTGTTGTGTAATCTCTTCTTCCCTGGTGAAAGTTTTGTTAGCTTCTACTTGCTCGAACATTCATCTTACAAGATTTATTCTTAGTTTTGTGGTTCTCCACCATCTGCCTGTGGAACAATATGAATGAGTGCCCCAGTGCTCCAGACCCACTATCCTCTTCATTTTCATCATCAACTGCCAGCAATAGTGTATCCTGTACTTCTTCAGATACCACATTTGTGCTATCATTCTCCATATTCTTGGGATTTTTGTAGTTCCTCTTTATGTGACCAATATTGCCACAATTCCAGCAGTTTGCCTGCTGACCAGACTTTGATTTTGATCTTACTTTATTTGAGTTCCTGTCATGCCATCTCCTTCTGAAATCAACTGTCGGCGATAAAAAGTTGGGGAAGTTGTGGGTTGCCCGTAGGAAGCTGTCGGTCCCCAGAATCGAAATCACGTGGCCCGCTTCGGAAGGACGTTTTAATTTACATATAGATTTAAGTTAAAAAAAATATGAAATCATACTGACTCCATAATTTTCACAGTTTAAATGAAAGAACACTCTATCTCAAACTCTGTATCTATCCCAAAGATAAACACAAGACTGGAGGATGAGACTCGATCAAATAAACTAAGAAATATATGACGTCCGTTTGGTTTGCGAAACCGTTTTATTTGCCGACAAATTCCCCTATTTAATATGAAAAATTAAATAGAGTTTATTTTAAGCTGGGTTCGGAAAAGCTTCCTGTAAGGGCAAGCCACTATAATTAATTACATCTTAAATGACCGAAGTCACTTAAGAATACTCTTGATAAAAATCAGGAAAAATTATCTTCGAGGACTTCAAAATGATGAAACTTTTCAATGAAATCAGACAAAGAAGTGTGAAAGTGGAATGACTCAAATTTGGAACATTTATTACAGAATCTAAAAGAAGAAGAACTAGGGGATGCCACAGATCCAGAGGAGATCCTCGGTGACTTCCCAGTCTACCCTATGGTTTGGCTTTAATTTCGAGGAGAAATATTGAAGTGTTTTATCGTCCTAATTTTATCTATTTAGAGCTTACATTCGTGTGAAACGATCACACAAATAACCTGGAAGATGTGAGGATTTAGGTCGTAACGAACGACAACCTCAGAACCCTAAAACGAGTTAGGGCTTAGATCGTACAGAAGAGCTATACAAATGTCTAAAGAAAAGGTTGAGGATTTATGTTGCGCTAGGCGAACAACCTCAAAATCATATGGATTGTTGTTTTAATTTCTAGGAAAGGAATGATTTAGCTGGGGAATACATGTTCTGTTGTTGAAGATGGTTGTGTTACCCACCGCGCTAGTTCTAAGCTCCTTGTCGTGACGAGTTTAATTTTTTTAGGGTGTGAGGTTATAATATCAAATCCAGCAGCCCAATGGTTGTAGTTCTTCAGATATTTTATAGGGAATATGTTGAAGTTGTACATTGTATAGCGTAACAGTAGAATATGTAGCACATTACAAGCAGTAGAGTATGCAGTAAAGAAAACAGTACAACATGTGGTGTAAAGAAAAATAAAAC